CAGATACAAAGAGCTGTTGGGCTCCCAGCTGACCAGTTACTTATTTCATTATTTGAGTTTTCCTTTCTTTCTTTGTGTCAAAGACTGGTTATGGTGCCATCTTTTCCAGTTGCCTTGGTAGCCATTACCAGCCAAGACAAAATTTCTGTGAAAGCACAGCTCAGAAACAGATCATTTGGCAGCCACCTACCCCTCCTCCACTCCAAGTTAGTGAGTGGAAAAGCAAACTGGCAAGTAAACTAATTAGAAATATAAATTGAAAGCACAGACCAATCAAAAACATATAAGATCGTGATATTATAGGTACTGGAACCTGAAATAAAAAGAGAAAATTTTAGAAATACTCAGCAGTTTCAATGAAGAGAGAAAGAAAGCTAATGCTTCAGGTGAATGGGGCTTTCACCAGAACTAGAGAAAGTTAAAAATGTATTGGATGTTAGGAATGTCAAATGGAGCAGTGTGGATAGGAGCAAAAAGGAAGATCTGTAACAGAGGGAAAGAGGGATATCCTTAACAAACAAAAGAATTGGTGGAGCAGAGCGTAAGAGAGCAGCAATGGGACAAATAAAGAATGGATAGATGAGTCCATCGGAGGTACGAATAGCAAAATAAGCATGAGCTGTGATCTGAAAGCAAAACATGAAGAACAAGATTAAGGACAAAAATACAAAAAAAATCAAAATAGAGACAGAGGTCACAGTCAGAAATGTTTGAACTCAAGGTTGAGCCCAGAAGGCTACAAAATGATTAATCAAAAAGTGACGTTCTTTTGATCAAACCTCATTGGAACACTGAAGCAGGCCAAGGACAGAGAGGTCAGTATGACAGCAAAATACAGAATTAAAGTGGTAGTTCTAAACAGATTCAGAGTCTTGTCTATGGGATGAACAAAGATGTTCTGCAAAGTGGACACCCAGTCTGTATTTGATCTTCCCGATGCACAGCAAACCACATTGTGAGAGACAGTAAACTAGATTGGTGGGAAGTAAATCATTACTTCATCTGGGACTACAGTTTGGAGCCTTGGATAGTGAGGAGAGACATGGTAACATGGCAGATGTTGCATCTCCTATGCTTCGATTGAAAGGTGCTACATTGAAAGATAACATTATTCGTTTTTGTTTTACATTTTTAGAGAGACTCCCTTCCTCCTGATGTTCCAACCCCATGTCTGCGTTTTCTCACTGTAATGAATAGCCCAGGGATCAGCCAAAAGGTCAATACTATTTATGTTCCACAATTGACATTTGGGAAATGTACAAATGTGGTCTGACTCTTGCTCTTTTGTTCTCCTTCCGTCCTAGAAGAAAGTATTTAACTGTGCTTAGTGTCTGTTCAAAGTGACCTGCTGTGTGATAGCTGTGGACAGGAATGTACAAGTTCACCAGAGAGCGCAGGTTCTTTGTCCTTGCCCCTTTGTCTCTCTCACTTCCTGCATCTTGGCAGTTGTGGATAAAACTACTAGTTATATTTCTCCTTAATTTTATCTTACAGTTAATCACTGAATAATTACCCAAATGATGGCAGAACTACCTTCAACCAAGATGTTAGCAAATGATATGGAGATATAACTCAGTATATTACTGCTTTGTGTGCATAAGACAGATAAATTTAAAAATGAGGGACACAGGAACTATTATTAGACTTTTACTCACATAAATTGGTCTCTTGCAGGGCTGAATAATAACTTTAGGATTTGCTTCCATCTCGTCTCTTGAGGCTTTTCAACTTCAATGTATCATCTTTCTTATGAGATGATAAGAAAGTGGGTGGAAGGCTTCCTTCACCTTTTCATTACAAAAATAATTTTCATTGGAGAGGAAATTCATCTGTTAGTAAAAGCAATAGCCTATATGTTACCCCTTCCCCTGAAATGAAATTCACTAGTCAGCTGTTCATGAGAAATCCAAACTAATAATTAGGATTTTCACTGGTGTAAATCAATCCACCTGCACTGTAGATATCAATGTTTCAATTTATGATGCAACTGAAAGTCCAAACCACATGGATGTCAAGAGAGGGCTTCAACAATTACTTCATCATACGTTTCCTGATGGAATTTTAAGACCCAGAATGTGAGGTTATTTTTATGATGGTTTTTACAATAATATAGTATTATTTTAGCCCTTCAGTACTACTTCTGAATTTTCCACTAATTCTCCCAACTAGTAAACCCTGCAGAATGATTAATTGAAATTAATGCAAATTGATGAAGGTGACACACAGTATCACTATAGCCACAGTGTTGTATAGATTTTAAGCTGAGTATCAACAACTGTATGAAATGCAAGTAACAAAGGAATGATTAACCAATAATTTATCAAAGTCTCTTATTACTATTGGACGAGTGTCGATTTCTACTTCAATTTAGTTTGCATTCTGTTTTACAATGGAAGTGAGTTTTTGCAGAGGGCAAAGCCATTTTGTTGTCAGAGTTAATCAGTCAGTGAGGGCAATTGATGGAAATGGCTATCAAATGACAATTCACCGAAAAAGGTCACAAGGAAGAATGATGTAGCAACATTTAAATAGTAAAACATCTGCAATAAATGGAGGAAGTAAAATTAATGAGTGATGGAAAAGGGAGTAAGCTGAGAGCAGGGTAAAGAGAGAGCTTTGATGACTGGCAAATGAAGCTGTGAGTATGATAAAACAAACGCTTCATCCTCCGACACTTCCGCCGTCTGCAATCCGACCCCACCACCAAAGACATCTTTCCCTCCTCACCCTTATCTGCTTTCCAGAGGGACCACTCTCTCCGTGACTCCCTTGTCCGCTCCACACTCCCCTCCAGCCCCACCACACCCGGCACTTTTCTCTGCAACCGCAGGAAGTGCTACACCTGCCCCCATACCTCCTCCCTCACCCCCATCCCAGGCCCCAAGCAGACTTTCCACATCAAGCAGATGTTCACCTGCACATCTGCCAATGTGGTATACTGCATCCGCTGTACCCGTTGTGGCCTCCTCTACATCGGGGAAACCAAGCGGAGGCTCGGGGACCGCTTTGCAGAACACCTACGCTCGGTTCGCAATAAACAACTGCACCTCCCAGTCGCGAACCATTTCAACTCCCCCTCCCATTCCTCAGACGACATGTCCATCCTGGGCCTCCTGCAGTGCCACAACGATGCCACCTGAAGGTTGCAGGAACAGCAACTCATATTCCGCTTGGGAACCCTGCAGTCCAATGGTATCAATGTGGATTTCACAAGCTTCAAAATCTCCCCTCCACCCACCGCATCCCAAAACCAGTCCAGCTCGTCCCCGCCTCCCTAACCTGTTCTTCCTCCCACCTATCCCCTCCTCCCACCTCAAGCCGCACCCCCATCTCCTACCTACTAACCTCATTCCGCCCCCTTGACCTGTCCGTCCTCCCTGGACTGACCTATCCCCTCCCTAACTCCCCACCTACACTCACCTTTACTGGCTCCATCCCCGTCTCTTCGACCTGTCTGTTTCCTCTGCACCTATCTTCTCCTCCATCCATCTTCTATCTGCCTCCCCCTCTCTCCCTATTTATTTCAGAACCCCCTTCCCCTCCCCCATTTCTGATGAAGGTCTGGGCCCGAAACATCAGCCTATGATGCTGCTTGGCCTGCTGTGTTCATCCAGCTCTGCACCTTGTTGTCTCGGATTCTCCAGCATCTGCAGTTCCTGCTATCTCTAAAGATTTAATATTTAGTTTCCCAATTCAGTTGACGTTTCTATCACGGGGAGCATCTGAATTTGTTCAAAGTGTGTTATAGTTTACAGGAATCAACTGAGAGTATCAAGACAACAAGTTGTGCCTAAATAGCACCTTGTACAACATCCCAAGCTGCAGTACCGTGATACGAACATAAGAAATAAGATCTGGAATAGCTCTTTCAGATCTTAAAACCTATTCCACCATTCAATATGATCTTCATCCTCAACGTACTTTGCCCTCTATCCCCATATCCCTGGAATCCATTAGTATCTTAAACTCAGTTAATCTCTGTCTTGCATATATGTAACAATTGAACATCCTGCTCCCTGGGCTGGAGAATTCCTTATAGTCACAATCCTTCAGTGAAAAATAAGGCTCCCTGTCCAAATCCTAAATGGCCAACCTTTTATTCTGAGACTGGGAGCACCTGAACTGAGCTGGGGCCAGAATATTTCCAAACCACATACCTAGGGCTGTGAAGAAGGCTTTAACCTAAATAGTGGGCGGGAAGGGATCACATGAGAGGAAATTTGAAAGGTTGAACAGTAAGAACAAAGCAACAGTGCAGGGCAGAGACAAGGGTCACAAATGGCAAAAAAGATTGAACTAAAAAATTTAAAGCAAGATGGATAATTGCACAAATAGAAATTAGTATGAAATGATAGCCATTACAGAGGCACATTTACAAAGTGACCATGACTGAAATCTGAATATTCAAGTGTATTCAAAGGTTTTTGGCATTTTGGAAAGACAGAAAGCAAGGTAATGGACGTGAGATGTCTCTGTTAATAAAGCATGAGATCAGTACAAAAGTGAAAAATGATCCAGTTTAGAGGATCAAGATGTAGAATTGGTTTAGAGACAGGTAAGAAATAGCATTGAGAAGGGATCACTGTTGGTAATTGTTTATAGGTCCCCTCACAACAGCTTCACTGTTGGAAGAGAGGATGCATCAATAAATAATGGTGCTTATAAGAAAGTCACTGCTACATTCATGGGAGATTTTAATCTTCATATAGTTTAGATGAATTGAATTGGTAAAATTAGACTAGAGGATGAGTTTACTTCCTTATATTTACTATGAGTTTATTTATGAGTTATTCAAAATGTTTTTTAGAAAAATACATTCTGGAACCAACTGGATGACAGGCTACTTTTGACTTGAGGACAGGATTAATTAATAATCACTTAATGATCCTAATGCATTAGAACCTTATTTGCAGTTTGAGGGTGAGAAATTTGATCTAGAAACTAGAGTATTAAACTTAAATAATGGGAATCACAGTGGTATGAAGACAGAGTTGGCGAAAATGGAATCAGAAAGTAAGTAGATAATAGAGAAATAGTAGCAGATATTTAAGGAGCTGTATCATAATTCTTAGAAAAGATATGCCCATTGGACAGTATGAGAAGAATCACCATTTGTGGCTAACTAAATAAGTTAAGGATGGTATCAAATTTTAAAATAAAGATGCCCAATGCTGCAAATATTAACGGCATGGCCAAAGATTGGAAACATTTTAGAAACTAGCAAACGATGAGTAAATAAATAATAGGGATGGAGAAATTAAAGTATGAGAGAAAACTAGCAGGAGATAGAAAAACAGGCAGCAATAGCTTCTACAGGTATATACAAATGAGAGGCATTATTAACGTCACTTAGAAAGTGAGACTGGGGAATTAATAATGGAAAATAGGGAAATAGCAGAAACTTTAAACAAGAATTTTATATCCATCTTCACAGGAGAAGACAGATATACATAAAGGGATGAAGGGAGAAAACAGGGAACTGTAGGCCAATGAGCTTGATGTCTGTCATGGGGAAGATGTTGGAATCAATCTTAAGGAGATTATAGCTGGGCACTTAGGAAAACTGAAGGTAACTGGAATGAGTCAACATGATTTTGTGAAAGAGAAATCATGTTTAGCCAATTTATTGGAGCTCTTTGATGGAGTGCTGTGGAAAAAGGGGAGCTTATAGACGTACTATACAATGCAATTTGGACAAGCGAGGTAAGTGGGTAAATATATGGCAGATGCAGTACAATATGGGTAAATGTGAGGTTATCCACTTTGGTAGCAAAAACAGGAAGGCAGATTATTATCTGAATGTCTATAAATTGGGAAATGGGTAGTGCAATGAGACCTGGGTGTCCTTGACATCTGAGCCTGGTTCAACAACTGCTCTGCCCAAGACCACAAGAAATTACAGAGAGTTGTGAACACAGCCCAGTCCATCCCACAAACCAGCCTTCCATCCACTACGCTCCATCTACACTTCCCGCTGCTGCGGGAAAGCAGCCAACATCATCAAAGACCCCTGCCACCCTAGTTCTACTCTCTTCCACCCTCTTTCATAGGGCAGAAGATACAAAAGTTTGTATAATCATACGACAAGACTCAAGAACAGCTTCTTCCCCACTATTGTCAGGCTTTTGAGCGGACCCCCTAAATGTTAATTCTGATCTTTCTCTCTCTGCGCTTTCTCTGTGACTGTAACACTGTATTCTGCACTCTGTTCTGCTGCCTGATGCACTTTGTATGGTACGATCTGCCTATAGAGCATGCAAAACAACACTTTTCACTGTATTTCAGTACGTGACAACAATAAATCGAACTCAAACACGTGCATCAGTTGTTGAAAGTAAGCATGCAGGTAAAATAGGCATGAAGAAAGAAAATCATATGTTGACCTTCATAGCAAGAGAATATGAATACAGGAGCAGGGATGTCTTGCTGCAACTGTACTGGGCCTTGGTGAGACCACACCTGGAGTATTGTGGGCAGTTTTGGTTTCCTAATCTGAGGAAGGATGTTCTGGCCATTGAGGGAGTGCAGCAAAAGTTTACCAGACTGATTTCTGGGATGGCAAGACTGGCATGTGGGAAGCGACTGGGTCAGTAGGATTATATTCACCAGAGTTTAGAGGAATGAGGGGAAAACGTCATAGAAACCCATGAAATTCTAACAGGATTAGACAGGGTAAATGCAGGAGAGATGTTCCTGATGACTGAGGAGTCCAAGGGTCACCATGTAAGATTACAGGATAGGCATTTAGGACAAGGATGTGGAGAAATTTCCTCACCCAGAGAGTGGTGAGCCTGCAGAATTTTCTGCCACAGGAAACTGTTGAGGACAAAATATTGAAGACTTTCAAGAAAAATGTAGCTATAATTCTATGGGCTAAAGAGACCAAAGTATAGGAGGAGAAAGCGGGAACAGGATACTGAGTCAGATGATAGGCCATGATCATATTGAATGACAGAGCAGGCTTGAAGGGCTGAATGGCCTACACCTGCGCCTATTCTATGTTTCTATAAACTTGGATTTCCAGGAGGTGTTTAACAAGGTGTTACATGTGTTCTTAAAGAAACCAGGCGTTCATATTATAGGGGGAACACATTGGCATTGATAGACAATTGGCTGACTGGCCGAAGGCAGAGGGTTTGCAGCAATGGCTCTGACTGATGGGTAGGGCGTGATAAGTGGCATCCTGCAGGACAACCTGCTGGGGCCTCAACTTTTTATAATTTACGTGAAAGACTTAGATGAAGGGAATAACAGAATATTGGTTATATTTGTAGATGATACAAGATAAGTAGCTAAGTGATTGGTGAAGTGGAAAAAAGCAGGTTGTAGAGCAATATAGAGAGGTTGAGTGTTTGGGCAAAAGTTTGGCACATGGAGTACAATATGGGATAACATGAAGCAGTGAAATAATTTCACAGAGGCCAGTATCTTTTCTTTCTTTATTCATTCACGGGATGAGGGCGTCACTGGCCAGGCAGCATTTAATGCCCATCCCTAATTGCCCAGAGGGCAGTTAAGAGTCAACCACATTGCTGTGGGTCTGGAGTCACATGTAGGCCAGACAAGGTAAGGATGGCAGATTCCTTCTCTAAAAGGCATTAGTGAACCAGATGGGTTTTTCTAACAATCAACAATGGATTCATGGTCATCATTAGATTCTTAATTCCAGATTTTTTTTTATTGAATTCAAATTCCATCTGCCATGGTGGAATTCAAACCCAGGCCCCCAGAACATTATCTGGGTCTCTGGATTAACAGTCCAGTGACAATACCACTAGGCCATCACCTCTCCCTGTCACCAAGTCACCTTTATTTACACGCAGAGAGTCCTTGACACTGATCCAGCTCCCTCAGAGCCAACTTTCACAGTGAACAGTATGCCTGACATTCCTGCTTATATCTGTCAGCCAGGGCTCCCTGATTGGACCAGATTACCAGCCCCAATCTGAGAACTCATATTCTAAGAGGTACAGCTGGCTGACCTTGTTATAATCACAACAAGAGGGAAAAATGAAGAAGCAGAGTATTATTCAAATGGAGAGTGACTGCAGAATTCTGAGGTGCAGAGTGATCTGGATGTTCTCATGCATGAATCACAAAAAGTTAGTTTGCCAGTACAGCAAGTAATCGAGAAGACGAAAGGAATGCAATCCTTTCAGGACAGAAATGAGGATAATGTTTTTCTCTTAGAGGGTTGTGCAACTTTGGAAGTATCTGTCTCAAATAGAAATGGAGTCATTGAATGTTTTTAAGGCAAGGTCAATAGATTCTTGTTAGGCAAAGGAATCAAAGACGAGATTGTGGAATTCAAAACACAAACAGATCATCAGTGATCTTGTTGAATGGTGGCGCAGGCTCAAGCAGCCAAATGGTCTTCTTGTGCTCCTAATTTGTATGTTTGTAAGACACAAAAACAACCCAAGAATAGTAGAAAAGCAAGGAGCAAAAGAGAGGGAGGAACTTAAAATAATGAAAAAGTACTGGATAAACTATTTTGAGTAAAGGCTTTCAAAACCCCCTGGACCTGTTCTTTGCAACTGAGGCTCTTAAAATAAGTGGCTGGAGTGATAATGGATGCATTAGTTGTATTCTTCCAAAATTTCTGACTTCTGGAAAGGTCTGAGCACATTTTAAAACAGCAAATTGAATACCTCTATTCAAGAAAGGAGGGATTGAGAAAGCAGGAAACTATTAGCTAGTTAACCTTATTTCTGTCATTGGGGAAGTGCCATAATATATTAAGAAAGACATTTAGACAATTATAGTACAATCAGACACAGTCTACATGGTTTAGTGAAAAGGAAATTTTGTTTGAGGAAATTATGCTCTTTGAGGATGGAACAAACAGAATGGGTGAACGTGATGTAATGTGTTTGGATTTTGCAAAGGCATTTGAGAAGATACCACATGAAAGGTTAGTGCATAAGACAAGGTCCCACAATGTTGCGGTGATATACTAGCATGAAAAGAGGATTGGATGACTAAATGGAAAGGGAGAGTTGAAATAAATGGATGATTTTCAGGCTGGTAAATTGTAATGAGTGGAGTGCCACAGAGATCAATGCTGACACCTCAACTGTTGATGATCTACATTAGTAGCTTAGCTGTAGGGACCAACTGTTTGGTAGCCAAATTTGAAGATGATACGAAGACAGATGGGAGTACAAGAACAGTACAAAGAATCCTCATTGGGATATAGATAGGTTAAGTCAATCAGCGAAACATTGCTGGATGGAATATAATGTGGGAAAATTCAACGTTGTCTACTTTGGCAGGAAGAATAGAAAAGCAGCATATTATTCCGGTTAAGAATTTGCTTACAGAGAAATCTAGGTGTCCTGGTACAGAATTCAAATAATGTTAGCATGCAGGTGCAGCAAGAAGAACATTCAACTTTGTTGAGAGAGGATTGCACTGTATTGCTACAGAGCTACATGGCATTGTGAGACTGCATCTAAATCAGGAAATCATGAGCCTGCGATTCTGAATACTCATGGCAGGGTGAGTCTCTCCCATTAATGTAATGCAGCTTGGTTTAACCCTACCAGCAGACAGGAAACTAATATTATTTACATTTCTGACAAATATTGATCACAAAAATAATTATATATAATGGTTGATATACCAAAGTTTATTCTATCAATTGTTGAAAGAATTATGAATTTGCAGCTATGAGAAGAAATTCATTAGATTGTTTAGTTTACAGTTTTCTCCTTACTTAGGGAGAGATGCAGATACTTTGGAAGCAGTTCAGAAAAGGTTCACTCAGCTGATTCCTGGGATGAAAAGATTGTCTTTTGAGGAGTCAAGCAGGTTGAGTTTTTACTCATTTAGAAGAATGAGAGGTGATAGTATTGAAATATGTAAGTTTCTAAGGACACATGAGGGGGTGGATACTAAGAAGATATTTGTTCTGCCAGAAAGCTTCTGGTCTAGCAGTGCAAAGTGTTGTCAGAACTGAGTGTTGCATTCCGAGGCAGATGCTTCCAAAGTCACAAAACCTTCTGAGAGAA